ACCTGTCTTGGACCATCCAGACCAATACCTCATAGTGTACTGTGAGACATCCTTAATCTGCAAGCTATAAATATACACCACACCACTCACGAGTAGAAATTTTGCCCAGGAAGGAGCTGACAATGCATATGGTTTTCATTCTTATTCCCTACATTTTACTTTTAAATGATATGCATTTATGATCTAAATATCATTTAATTATACATATAACAGAGTGATAATTGCTAATAGCAAATAATGTGTAATGATCAACTCATGATAGTTTGCATTTGCACCTCCTTAAATCTTAACACTATGATTGAAACATGAACATATCTTTCTGCTGTAGAGTGTGATAATTTCATGTGAGTACACAGGGTGTACTGATCATCTCATGGTAATGAATGGATCCACCTCCTTGTCATTATTTTATATTTAGAAAACTTGAGCCCCAATGTTGTGGCAAGTTGGAGCAGCTCAGTGCTACAGCCAAGTGTTACAGCTCAGCATCCCAGCCAAAAGCCACAGCTGTGAGGCACAGCTGAGCTTTACAGCTAGCTCAGTGTGGCAGCTCTTGGTCACATCTCTGGGTCATAATTTGAAGGGTTGAGAATCTGATGATCACTCCAAGAGGTGGAGAAAAACCTTTATCTCACCGAAGGGCTCAGAGGAGTTTGTGCTCAAAGTCTGAGCAGCCTACCAGAAATGAGAGCCTCCTTATACAAGGAGGTATATGGCAGTCAAGCACTCTCACTGAAACAGAGGGTAGAATCACAAAATGTTCCTGAAACACATGCTGTATGCACATGCTCACTGAAATGAAAGGGTGGCATTACAGAATATTCCGGAAAAGTCACACAGGGTGAACTGTCACAAAACATTTTTACACATTGGGCAACAGTATAGCACAAACTGCTACATTTCTAGAACAAAACATTCTATGGGAAAAAATACTTGGAGGCAAGGCAAGGGATTGTCTTACTGTATTGTATTGCTCTCTCACCAATATTAGTGGAATGCACATTATTAAGTAATAAAAGGTCCAGAATATAAGTTTCATCTGACAGTGACCTCACTCATAAAATTTATATAATATTTTCTCTGTGATTCTGGCTTAAAATAAAATGTTGTCTATGTCTAATATATAGAAACATATTTTTAAAAATTCATTGTTGAAAAAGAAAAAATATGGGAAAAGGAACAAAATGGAAAATAAGTCAGTGTAAATAAAGAAGGATGGAGGCAGTGAAGGGAGGGCAGGAGTATGGGGAGAAAAAAGAATCAAGATACATCATGTAAAGGTACAAAAGCCCAATGATGAATGTAACTGTACTGTATACCTAAAATGTATTAATAAATTTCATGAAAAAAAAGAAATTCATTGTTCTCGCTTCCCCTTATTTGCTTGGATTTATGGGGTTCTAAGGCTATGGGTTAATGGATGCATTTCATTGAAAAATTACACTGCATGAAGAAATTTGAATCGTGTTTAAATCAAAAATTTTTGAGTGTAATTTTCAAGTATGTATAAAGTATATGGAGTGAATCCTTTGGAGAATGATTTGTACATTTTCATTTGACTTTAAGTTCCTTGAAGTTACTTGGCTGTGCACACTGCTCCTTTCCTGAGGTTTGAAAAACAAAAACTAGAACTTCTGTCTTCTAACTGTATATTCCATTTCTCAATCTCTTGGGATCAGAATCTTTGCTGAAGAATTTTGACTCTCTCTGCCACATGGTTGTTTTCAATGAGGAGGAGAATACTGAGGGAAAGGGTCTGTAGTTCCCAAGAATAAAGTATCGGCACAGTTCATCCTTATGGAAAATAGTCAAGTGTAAACATATAATTTATGTGGCAATACAGAAAGTTGGATAACATTATCAGGACTTTTTCAAGAACCATAGGAAATATTCAGGACAGAAAACAATTTTTGTTTACTCACTTTCCTGCAAAGTTTTGGTTTGTTAATGCAAGAGAAATTCTATTAAAAATGTCTGGCTGATCCTACCATATCTTCAACCAGACTCACCCACACTGTACAGACACTTCTCATAGAATGACCGAGGCCCCTTGCTGTGACAGGGTCATTAATTAAATTGCTCACTAAAGGAGGAATTACATTAGGTATGTAGATTACAATATCCAGAATGCAGAAATGGTCGAAGGAAACTCCGACTTGTTGACTTTGCTTTTATTTGCATAACTCTTACATGCAGAACATAAACCTATAATACTGTACTGTACAGTAAAATCAGCAACAATTACAGTGCTGTGTTGACAAGCTATACTGTACAAAAGAAAGACATCGAGGTTTTATAAACAAGATGAACAGAACTGTGCAAAAAATATGGATTGCAAGCATGGGAGGATGAGTCCTAAGTCCAAACAGCGGGCCTCAGTCTTAAATCAGAACATTTGTTAATCAGGTAGGACATTAAATGAAAAATGTCTGTATTATACCAAGATTGGTGATGATTTTATTTCCCATCTACACCGGCATGGCACTCTAGTGGCAATTTTCACCAACAATTTTAAAAGTGTTTGATCCACCTATGGTTACACTTAGGATTTTCTGAAGAATCATTTCATTGAGTAAATGAATGCATTGGTCCCCAAACACCATGACAAGGTAATGTACAGATCGTTTCAATTAAAAGTAAAGAAAAAAGAAAGTAGAAATGAACTTCTTATGTGTTACCCACTTTGCAGTCAATCTCTTGTTTCCCTGTTCACTCATCTTTAGCCAGCGAGAGCCCTCCGATCACCAGAAATGAAAAGTAAAGAATTACAAAGGTCTACAAGCAACGATGAACAGTAATCCTCACTTACAGACTAGGATGATCTGGGTCCCTGTGCATGTGCATTCCTACCCCCAACTTCCTTCAAAATTTCTTGGATGCCAACTCATCCAGCGGCACAGAATTGGAAGATAAACTGAAGAATACTTGTTCAAAAGGTTATAAATAAATATCCTTTATGCCGGACATGGTGGCACACGCCTATAATCCCAGCACTCGGGAGACTGAAGCTGGAGGATCACTGTGAGATAGAGACCAGCCTGGGATACATAGTGGGTTTCAGGTCAGTCTCAACTACATAGTGAGACCCTGTCTCAAAAACCAAATAAATAAATAAATATCATTTACAAAATTCAGCCTAAATTTAGGAATAGAAAGTAAAGATGGAAATATACGGTATTTCTTTGGGGGTAAAAATCGTAGGATATTACTGGATATACTCAAAAGCTTAAAGAAATGTGAAATTGATATCATTAGTGATGAATAAAGAACTCCCCAAAATTTTTCAATTCATGTTACACACAGGAAATGATAATGTCTGTGTATGTACTGGTAAAAAAAATAAATAAATAAAATGATGCAAGACTACTTTCAGCTGGACCCTAGGGATGAAAAGAGCTTTCTTTCATTCACAATAGATAAGAACTTGTGGACTAAAGTGTCAACTTTATGAAAGTCCTAGTATAAAAATGCTCACAAGCACTTAAATTACTGCAAATTTCTCAGTGAAATTTTAGAACTCAAGAACTAAATTCCCAAACATTACTTTGGTCTTTTTTTGTCAATGTTCAGGACAGAGGTGCTCTCTCTTACTTAATATTCTTTCTTGGTATCAAACCATGGGCACACATAACAGTGATTCCAGGGATAACCTATTAAGCCAGGAGGACTGGGTCAAGGCTAACTCCACTCAGGGCCAAAGTCATACCACTGCTTGTTAGGGTACTACCTTGACTGCCTTTCTTCTTCTCAGTGGAGGGTCTAACTCACAAATTTGGAGACTTGTAAACATTAGGCTGCTTTCAATCCCTTGGGAAGTGGATTCACTCCAATTTTATGGTTCAAAACATTAATAATATTGTGCTTGGAAAAAATAGAACCAGTTATTAGCTCCTTGCTACTGTTATAAATGCTAACAGCTCAGCCCAGCTTGCTGTGACCTCTGAAGGATCAAAGAAATGGGTTATTTTCTCCTCTTTTGATTTTCCCACATTGTAAGACTTCTAGCCTTTTAACAAGTGTGCTGATTCTCAGAGCTTCCCTTCCAATTAATTTAATTTCAGAAATTAGTCAAAAAAGACACTAAACAAATAATGAGTTGCATTCTGATACATTTTTTAAAATCTGGAACTGGAGACTTTAAAAATACCTTGTGTCTCTCTCTCACCCTGAACAGCCCACTCCTTTCCCAAATACCGAGGCCACCTGTGAATACAAAGCCAAAGGGCTAGGCTGGTGAAGTCTCTGCGGAACTCATAGACAGAAGGGCGATGAGCTCTGCTAGTTCCCTTTGCACAAGATGTTCCTGTCGGATTGGAGTTCTTCATGACAAAGAAGGAAGCCTCAATGACCAAGATCAGGAACAGTGCTGTAACCAGATGTAGCTTCTTAATGAACAATTTCCTTTCGCTTTAACAGGATTCTAGCCTCTTTCTCCTTTTGAGACATTTTTCCATCATCAACTTCAGAATGGTTTTGAGCTACTTCTCTGGAAACAGCATTCTCCCTCTCCCGTGCCACTTTGCACTTAATAAGAACAAATTTTACACTCTTGTTCACTAAGGCTACCAAGTAAGCGCTTACCAAGGTCATCACACTAGAGAGAGTAGCAGACTGAATGAGATCCATATACAATGTATGCCAAAATAATCAGATAAAATGCATCTGAAGAAGAGTGCAGAGGACTCTACAGGTTGTGGCTAAAATCCTGCAGGGCAGGTCCTCCAGAACTTCAGCTTAGAGCTGCCTCTGCAGCTGTGGTGGAGCAGGAGCCAAAAGGCAGGAAGGCCAGTGGGACTCACATCCAGCAGAGGCCTCTCAAATTTTAAAAACCTAAAAAATGCATGCTGATCATTGCAAGAATTCACGTAATAAATTTTTTCTGTTATGTACAATTCTTAAACCAAGAGAAAATTAAGTTCAGTGCAATAATCCCAGGTGGCTTCTTTGGAAGAAACAGCTCTTCATGGAACACAAATAATACAATCCTCTGTCGCTTTATGTTACTTTCTAGTCCAGAGCTTCTTCATGGCATTTTTCATCTCTGCATTTCTCAGAGTATAGACGAGGGGGTTCAGCATGGGAGTGATTACAGTGCAAAACACAGCTAAGTACTTATCAGTGGGCAAGGCGAATGGAGATCTCACAAAAAGAGCAATGCAAGGAACAAAGAAGAAGACCACAACTGTAATGTGGGAGCCACAGGTGGACAAGGCCTTGTGCCTCCCTTCCTGACTCAGGTTTTTCAGCGAGTGCAGAATGACTGCATAGGAGATTAATAAGAGAGCAAAGATGACTGTACAGATGGCCCCATCATTGGCCAGAACTGTGAGGCCAATAACATAGGTGTCTGCACATACGAGCTTTAATAAGGGGTACATGTCACAAATGAAGTGGTCAGTGACATTGGGGCCACAGAAGGGAAGATTATAAACAAACAGAATGTGCAGTATAGTGTGCACAAAACCCCCAACCCAGGCCAGCAGCAATAGCAGAGCACACAAGTGGTGGTTCATGATGGTCAGATAATGAAGGGGTTTGCAGATCGCCACAAAGCGGTCATAGGCCATGACCACCAAGAGTATTATCTCAGCACCACCGAAAAAGTGCTCTGAAAACAGCCGAGTCATACATGCTTGGAAGGAAGTGGTTTTCTTGACACGGAGTAGGTCTATCAGCAAATTTGGAGTAGCTGTGTTGGAATAAGCCACATCCATAAATGATAAGTAGCCAAGAAAGAAGTACATTGGAGAATCCAAGGCTGGGCTGAGCACCACAGTCACGACAATGAGTAGGTTGCCTGCCATGGTCACCATGTAGACCAGCAAGAATAATGCAAACAGTATTTTCTGGCCCTGGAGGCTCTGAGTGAGCCCCAAGAGCATGAACTCAGTGACATTGTTCCTTTGTTCCATGTGTCCTTCTGCGTGTCCTTGTATCACTGCTCAGGAAAACATTGTCTGCAAAAAGAATTATTACTAGTAAGTTTAGGATGCTTATTTGTTGCTTAAAGAGGCATTATGAATATTCTCTTCATGAACTGTTCTTTTCAAGTTTGATGAAGCATCACACCTAACTTTAAGGATCTTACAGAATAACCATGGCATAAATAAAAAATCAGAGACCTGTTAGCAAAGGACAGCCTGTGAAAAAAAAAATGAGTCTCCCACAACTCACTTTGTGCCTAGAAACTAATGGAAGTGCTAACACTATTCACACCATAAACTAAAAACAAAGATGCATTCAATATTTAATGTAACACAAGAGCAAGATTTTTTTATATTTACTTCTTGGTAACAAAGTAAATGTAATTTCTATATTCTTGGGATTGAAGAAATTTCTTGGCAAATAGAAATCTCAGGATAACACTTTGGACAATTTTAAAATGCATTAGAAATGTACATATGCATACAATAAATAATTACATGAAAGCAGTGTAGAGAAGAGGACAGGACAGGAGAAGAGAATGGAGGAATGGAGAGAAGAGAAAAGGAAGGGAGCAGGACAGTAAGCGTGATGTTGAAAGAGAGTCAAGAACATTGCACACACAGAAAACTAAGTGGGATCATCTTCACTAGCACAATATTCTTTTTAAAATGATCCTAGTGATGCCAGTAGCTCTCTAAATCTCTACTGGCACTTCGATCTGATTTATTGTTTATGAACTGCTCCCTCTTCACAGATGTGGAACATCTCTCTTTTTAACTATGGCCCACGTCTCTGCTCCTGCTGTTGACTTCATTGTTTTTATTGATTCTAATGCTGCTCTCCGATCTTCCCCTCCATTTCCTACATCCATATTTTGCTTCCAGCCTTCAGTTAGCATTTTCACACATTATGTCTTTATATTTGAAAATTCTATCACTGACCCCATTTCTCTTTCAAGTGAGCATCCAAATGCAATTCTCTGCTTGTGTCATACAAACCCCTTTACCGAAGCCCAAAGTCAGCTTGAGTTATCCTCTTACTTAACAGCGTTCTTTTGAATTATCCCAGGAGCTTTCTGACTCAAGCAGATATTACACTGCATCCCTTAAAGTCACTCTTTGACTCCTACAGATGCCAAATCATCCTTTCATTTTTAACATTCCAAACAAAGTTCAGAGCGTAGTTCTGTTAACACTATGGAGATATTGACAAGCACCGGCTCATCAAAAATCTCCCAAATGGTACATGCGCAATTAGTTTGTAAGAACTCTGACTAATAAAGAAGGAAAATGTATGCTACATTTTTATAATTTTGAAATATGCAAGAGGCATGTTCAATATTGGAATCAATATACACATCTTAGAATGACAAAGGAAGTCACCACATAACTACCAGAATCTTTAAAAAATTTTAAACACTGAGTACCTATGTCATCAGTGTACACAGTACAAAGCCTCACTTAGAATCATACATGCACATGACTTACTGAGTTACCTGCACAAGGACAGAGTCACTTGTATCTTGATGTTTCTCCTTGGTCCTAAACAATAATAGCTTCATGCACCATTTCTCCACATGCAGAAAGCAAAATAATTCAGGAACCATAGCTTCACCTTGGGATGTTTCCGATGACTAATTTTTTCCATGCTTGCAGGAAGATTGATTCATCAGATTTTCTTTTTTTCTTTTTTTTTTTTTTGCTACCGGGGATCAAACTGAGCTAAATCCCCAGCCCCTCATCAGACATTTTTCAAAAATTACTTTTAAAACTGATGCAAAGTTTAAACTAATATCAACACTGTTGTGTAATTTCAAGAAATCTGAATGTATATTACAGAGACCCAGATCTTTATTTTAGGCAAAATTTGTCCTTAAAGCAAACAAACATTAGATAAGCATTTTGAGGTTTAAAAAGGTAAATTTTGTGGAAAAAGGAACATGAATAGCTGAGACATATATTTGGAATTATTATTTTAAGAAAAACAATGATCTAGCCTTCAGAATATTTGGATTTCCAGTCAGGTATAGTGTCTTGACTTCATACACCATGGTTGAATTTAGGACTAATTAAAGAATGAAGAAAATTTGAGTGCTTATCCTATCATGTGTTGAATACATCATGTTTAATGCTAAGAAAACAGCTAGGTAAATACTAGTATAGACAAACATTCCTTGAGGTAAGAGCAAAGACTTTGGGCACATTATCTGTATTTCAAATACATTGCATATTATTGAATCATTCAGTTGCTGTCTCAATGGGAGACTTGTCCTTAATTAAGCCCAATGAGACCTTCAGCAGGATTCTGAGGGTAGATGGTGCACTGAGATGTCAGAAGAATAAAAACTATCTAGAACACCATTTCCACAGACAGGTCCTCTGGGGTAATTATCATAATTGAATAACTTGAAGCCACACCACCAACAGGGAAAATTCCACTCTGTGAGGAACTGAAAAATATAAAACTCTTATTATTAAAAACCTTCCTTGGGCTGGGAATGTAACTCAGTGGCACTGCACCTGCCTAGCAACAGCAAGGTCCTAAGTTTGATCTCTGTTACCTGAAAAAAATCCTTTGATAATGGTTTAATGAAGGAAAATAGTGGGTATGAATTTAAACAAATTCCAGATTCCTCTTGACTTATGGGTTTGTGTTGAGTCACCTGATATGATACTCAAAGGCTCCTTTGTATTGATTTATTTCTTTTTTTTTCTGTTTATAGTGTTTGTTCTTAGTTTCTAGAATCTTGACTATTATATGCCCAAGTGGTTTGTTTTATCACGTCTAGTTGAAGCCCTTTTTGCCTCCATTATCTGTATGTCAAATTGCTTTCCCCTGCATGGGAAGTTTTCCACCATTACTTCTGTGAACAGTTTTTTTTAAACATTTTAACATATTAATTAGCTGTATGTAAAGATCCTAATGAGATAATTAACAATGTGAAATAGGAAGAAAATGGCTAAAGATGTAGGGAAAGTGTGAAGGGTAGGGGAAAGGTAATAAGGGAAAAAATATGAGAAAATTAAAAAATGGAAATAAAAGGGAGGCAGGAGTGAAGAGAGGGCAGGGACAAGGGGAAAAAATAAGAACCAAGACCTGTCATGTAAAGGTACAAGATCCCAATAATGAATGTAACTGTACTGTATCCCTAAAATGTCCCAATAAACTCAATTTTTAAAAATTAGCGATATGTATTTTTTAGACATGTTTATTCAAATAATTTGATGAATTTTATTTATTGATTTATTGATTTCTTATTAAGTTTATTGGCACTTTTTAAGTATACAGTACAGTTATATTCATCATTGGGATCTTATACCTTTACATGTCAGATCTTGGTTCTCATTTTCCCCCATTCTCCAGCCCTCCCTTCACCTCCTCCATTCACCCCCTCCACCCTCCCCTATTTACAAAGACTTTGTTCCCATTTTTTCCTTTTCTCATATTTTCTTTCTTTTCCTTCATCCCTTTCCCCTACCCTTCCCACTTCCCCTACACTTTTAGCCCTTTTCTTCCTATTTTATAATATCAGTTATATAATTTGGATCTGATTTACGCTTTGAGTTTTTCACAGCAGAGAAACTATTAAGTATTTACAAATGCGTGTCTTTTTCATTTCATTTAAGAGCATAGGCACAATATGGATCCATTTTCCTATGAATGACTCTAGTTTCTCATTCTTTATGGCTGAGTAGTATTCCATTTTATAGAAAAACCACATCTTCTTTATGGGTGCACATATATCACTGTGGTATGATTCTTTTAATTCTTTTTTAACAATACCCAGAAGAAGGATAGTTGGGTCAAATGGAACCTTTAATCCTAGTTCTTTGAGGTATCTCCATATTGATATTGATTTCCACAGTGGTTACACCAGTCTGCATTCCCACCAACAGTGCAGCAAGGTTCCTTTCTCCTGACAACTTAGCCAACATTGGTTATTGGTTGAAAAATTTTTTTTTTTTTGTACAGGGGATCAAACTCAGGTTCTTCCATTTGCAAGGCAGGCAACGGAACCTCTGAGCTAAATGTCTGGCCCTATTGGTTGATTTCTTGATAACAGCTATTCTTTGTGGGGTGAGGTGAAATCTCAGTGTTGGTTTCATCTGCATCTCTCAAATGACCATTAATGTGGAACATTTTTTTCATGTTTATTTGCTGCTTTTGCTTCTTTGTCTGAGAAATGTCTGTTCATTTCAGATGCCCATTTTTTAATCTAGTCTTTATATTTAAGGGTCTGATTTTTTTGTGTGTTCTTTATATATTCTAGATAATAGTCCTTTGTCTGAGGAGCAGCTAGTAAAAAAATTTTTCCCACAGTGTAGGTATCTCTTAGCTCTGTTGTGGTTTCTTTTCAGTGCAGATGCTTTTTAATAAGATTTGATCCCAGTTGTTGATTCTTTCTGCTGGTTCCTGTGGTACTGAAGATTTGTTCATAAAGCATTTTCCTATGCCAATGTCCTATGCCAACTTCAAGAGTTCTGCCTAACTTATTTTCCAGCAAGTTTAGAGTTTCTGTTTTAATATTTAGATCTTTAATCCACTTTGATTTTAGTTTAGTGCATGGTGAAAGATGGATCTAGTTTTAATCTTTGGCAGGTTGAAATCCAGCTTTTCCAACAAAATTTATTAAAGAGGCAATCTGTCCTCCACTGAAGATGGTTGGCTCCTTTGTCACAGATGAGGTAGCTGAGTACATCTGGAGTTGTTCCTGTATCTTACAATCTATTCCACTGATCCTTGGGTCTTTTTCTTTGCAAGTACCATGCTATTTTTATCACAGTGTCTTTGTAGCACAGTTTCAAAATAAGAACCAAGATAGATTACCTAAAGGTGATAATTTCCAAAAATGAACGTCATTATATTATAACTTGTTCACAGAAATATTCGATTTGAGAAGTCATATTTCAGAAGTATGGTTAGTGCTGTTTTCTCTTTTTAAAATTTTTTCAGCTATATTGAGACATAAATGCCAAAAGAAAATCAC